TTTTTTTTTTTTTTTTGGTAAAACTGACTTATAATACAATTGACTTAGATCCTCTAGCTCATAGCAGGTACAAAATAGTGCTTTTTTTATCTAGCACTTCTTTACAATTGCTATTAAACAGATTTTACCTTTAAAAAAATGCGTGTGATAGGGTAGATAAAAAAACTTTGTCTCATCTCTCTAATATTTCTATTTTACTACACACAAATCAGATACAATGTGAACCACTGATCTGAAATGTTTGCTGAACTCTTCAGCCATGAAGTAGAAAGATTATTCCAAGACAGCTGTTTAGTAAGTTAGGGATGACAGGCCAAAATCGAACTTGTGCTTTTTTGAAAATTTATAAGATGTAATTGGAAGGGAGTTGTGAACAAAGTTCAATTAGCAAGAGATGGTTGGGCAATGGTGACCTAAAAACAGAAAATAAGGTTAACAGCAGCCTAGCACACCTAAAAAATGTGAATTTACCAGAATTACCAAAATTGTAGTCTCTCATAGTCTCTCGTTCTTTATTAGAGTTGTTTCTAGTTCCAGCTGCTTTCCTCTTCAGCTTCCCTACCGCCTGTCGAGAGAAGCTCTATTTTATTACATATATCGCTCCTAAAGGAAGAGTTTTTTTTGACTTAGAAACTTAGACCGCCATTCTCTTCTGTGAAAGTATTCTTTAAAGAAGATTTGGTATTCTACAACAGCTAAAAGACAGGTTGAGTCATTCAAAATGAATTACTGGTGATAGTGGGGTTTGTAATTTTTAATATGGGCTAGTGACGAGAAGTCATAGAAATTTCTTTTCAGCTTTTTTTCAAGGATATCTGATAATTTCAAAGCATTTGAATTTGTAAACAACTATTTTCTTTCTTTTTTTACTTGTGAACGCACTTTTGTTTATTTTCCACGTGTTTCTCTACTCTAGCACAGAGCTTTAGCATATGTGTATTTTTTTAATTTGTTTATTTTTAAAATCATTTTGGATGTTAGTTTAGGAGAAGAGAGTTTTTTTGGGTAAATTTGAATATTTCAAATAATAGCCAAGAAGTTTAACAGAAGTTTTTCAACAACTAAATGACAAACAGAGTGTAGTCAAAAAAATACATTTACAAATAACCGCTGGGAGAATAAATGTAAAAAAGCGTATTAAGGTGAATCTAAGAATAATTGCAGTAGTTTCCGGAACTGATACTGATACTATACTGAAAGCTTTCCAACTAAACAATATTGCTTACACAGTTTCACTCGTCAATACGATCATTTACAAGATTATTATACATCTGTAGACTTTTGCGAGAGAGGCTTATATTATCAACGTAACTGGTGATGAACACTGGATGATAACGAAAAAGACGTATTTTAGTTTAATTAAACGACGAAGGCATTTAAAATAGAGAATTAGAAGACGAAAGAGGAGGAGAAAAGTAAAGTTTTATTCCCATAACTTTATAAAACCTTTGAATTTTCAGCTAAATTTAAAATAAAATTTTAGAAAAGCAAAGAAACGCTTTTTTGGTATCAGGAGAAAGTACCTGTCTTTCTTCCTCTGCATTCTTATCAACCACTTTTCATCCTTTCCTACAGAGGAGCTTTCACTGACAAAATTTCCTTTACCTTGCAAAGAAGCGCATCTCTAACAGAAATTACGGTAGCTCTATTCCACCGTCTCCTTTCTTCCTCCTCCACCGTCTAGCAACCTCCAGAAGAGAAGAAAAAAAGTCGTTATCCAGCAAAGCTTCATGCTGAGGATTGCAGCATATAAAATACAAAAAAATTCTGTTATAAGGTTATTTTTTGCAGTAATATTTTATGCTTATGAACGTCATGTTGCATGCGCTTAAGAAAAGTAAGCCGCAAAAAAGAGGAACGAACTTGAGAGAATATTTTGTCGCCGATGTAGATGTGGTTCTTAATAACGATGTTAAAGTAAGCGTTTCTGTTCTATTTACCGATTGTGACTATTTTGTGGCACCTGAGATTTTGTTGAGCTATTAAGTTTCAATTTACTCTATGTTAACTCAAAAAAGTTGTCTTTTTTTTGTTTTTAATTCTTGTTAACTTGACAACATCAGGAAGCACTATCTGAGTACCGGTGTCTTTTTACAACCTTTAAACGTAGTAGCGTTATTCGACCAAGTTTGACTTACCATCAGAAAGGGAATGGCAGCAGCTATGACTGGTGGGTGAACAGCAATAAGAGTGTAGTTACCAACAGTAAATTTCAGACATCAATAAAGCGTATCTTGTTCGCTGCTGTATCGCCCTACTTTCAAGCTGCATTTTACAGTTGTTTCAGCAGTGGGCGAACAAGAACTATACATCTCGAAAATATAGATGTAAGTTCCTTGAACTCTTCTCTGTAAAAGAATGCGGCTTATAAGCTAATAAAATGGATGTAGAAGAAATATTTCTTAAAATCATTATATCAGGGTGCCGATGATTATTGTTAATTAGTTGCAGCGTTTTTTATTTCTATTTTAAACTGTAAAGGAAAATTGAATGACCACTTTCTTTTCAGTCAGATGCATTTATAAAATGCCATGATCTGTTGTTAAACTTGCTTAGCAAAGAAATTGCCTTACCATGGACGCTTACATTGTCGTCAGCGATGAAAGTATGTCAATTTTGTTTCTGTGATCATTAAGACTTGTAATCCTTAGTTTATGAATAGTTCATCTATCTCTGCCATAAAACAATGTATTCGTCTGACTTCTTGAGCTTTATAATAGCTATTAGAACTAAAACGAAGCATGCAATGCGATTCAACCAGAAAACTTTAGCACTTTACAATCAATCATCTCTTATGCCTAAGGAATGATTACGCTCTAAACTACAAGACAGTCTATACGCTTCTTCCCCTCAGTTGTTTTCTTCTTTTAACTTTCATTACTTCTTCTCATCTTTCCTTCTTTTTCTTATGATAACTGCGGTTCCCTCTTCGCCTTTTTCATTAAAAAAGCTGATAAAAATAAAAGCGTTTAAATACGACAATAGGCCTCGTCAATGTTAATAAGAAATGAACTTGCAGATGTTAGATGTTGCGTCATATTTATTGATAGACCCCTTGCTAGATTACTTATCTAAAAGAATTGAGTCTTTGGTGGACTATAACACTATTGTACCGCTTCTTCGATTTGCTGGTTAGTGTTGCTTTGGAGGCTTCAACCAAGTACTTTAAACCTAATTAAAAGATCGGAAAGCGCTATAGTTGCAGAAAAGAGGCTTTTAAAAGAATTTCAAAATTTTGCCTTAATAGGTGCTCTGTAATAAAAGAATTTTTTTTAGAGCGGAGACATCTCCCTCTAGCTAGGAGACTTTGGGAAATGATTTTGCATAACTTCGACAAACTATATGAATGCAAATCGTTCATTGCGTAAGTCCTTGAAAGATATAACAAACTGTACGACAACCGACCATAGCAGTTTAATCTGGCTGTTTGTCCTTCTTGGTTAAGTTTTTCGCTATCTAAAAAACAATGAGCAGTTCAAGAATTAGTACAAAAGTTAGTCTTTTATAGTTTTAAGTTAACATTAGTGGGCTGCATTATGAATGTGGTTGCGGTCTCTAGTATGCTATACCCTCATAAAAATATCTGAATTATATCTAGCATTCATAACAGTTTACAGAAAACATAAAATTGAGCCCTTTTTGAGAAAAACTGCGTGGTTTTTTAGGTTGACAGAAGACGAAATGTTGGAGCTTTTACAAGACTATCGTACCAACATTACTCGGTACGAAGAAAAAGCCATAATTAAGGAATGGTTATTTGTGAGTTTCAGAGATTCCTTAAAGCTTATTTGAATAGTGTAACAAGACAGCAAAAAAGATATAGGGGAAATACTTTCTATATTTTGTTTTCCGGTTTTAAAATCTTTAACTGAGATGAGGATAAGAAGTGAACTGGTAGACGCTTTTAGCGTAATATGTCAAGTCGTGATGCTGCAGATCCGAATTCATTGCGTGCTTGGTTAGCTCATCATATCAGTATCGCTGGAATTGCTTTGTCTCGGAGAATTCCTCACAAGATTCTTTTAGCTACAGGTTAAAGCTTAGCAAAATAAGTGTTTAATGGTTATGGTTTACTGTGGCGTTGCACACGTGTATGGCTGTAGTACTTTTAGGCAATTTTAAATGACAATTATGAAAAATGAGTTAATAAAATACTTTTGGCGTTTAAGAATTTAACAGTTTAACAATTAGCAAATTATAGGCGGATTTGCTAATGATGCTACCGACGTAGTTGAAATTTTTGACATCAACTGCTGTCGGTGGTATTCTTCAAATTTTCGTTTACGGAAGAACATTGCTTATCATCAGTCAATAATTGCTGGTTGCAGCCTATATACCGTAGGTGGTTGCGACGGTTCTGAATATCGAAATGGAACAGTGAAATATGATTTCTCTAACTTCGTATCTTATCTGTATTTTATTTTCTATTGCTGAAGCAACTTACTTCAATCTAATATTGAAGCAATAAGAGCTGACTAAAAAAAACTGTATTATAGACAGATTTTTTTGCGAAGTAAAATTCACTTGTGGCGTTATGAGCTCTTATACATTTACAGTCAAAACTGCTTACTGTATTCTGTCAGAAATTTTAGTCTGGTTTTTGCTGTACTAAAAGTTTAACAGAAAACAGTACTTAACTGCTCTTGACTGGTTTACCAACTTAAAAGCAAAATTTATTTTAGGAAGCAACTAAAGTGGGATGTATGCATAGTCGACGGTGCTATTTATCTTGTGGCCTACTTTCTCAGAACAGTATCATTGCTGTTGGTGGTCATGACGGTTTTCTAAGGCAAAAAACTGCTGAGATTTTTCACATTTCCTCTAACCAATGGACGCTGACGAACGATATGAAGAGGCGAAGGTTTTTTATACATTTCAATTGTAGAAAATTTGATTCTAGCTATTGTCTTACAGATCTACAATAGTAGTTTATAGTGATAAATAGTTAAAAAATACTGCTGCAGAGAGCAGAGTGTCTACAGCGTTGTTAAATTAATCATTTCTGAGAAGACGCAGGTTTTCCGGCTTCTGAAATTTCAGTTTTGTGTAGTTTTTAAAGTATCATTTTATATACTTAGAAGTGATGGAAGTTGCGTTATCCTAAACGGTGTCACGTATATAATTGGTGGTTTTGATGGTAGTAGTTGTCTTGACTCATTGGAGTTCTACGACCACATCCAGAATCGATGGAACTCTGTCAGAAAACCAATGAACGAACCAGTTAGTAATCTTCCGTGGTAACATCTGTGTCAAAGTCACAAAACGATTTTGTTGATAAGTTATCGGTTTTTTTTTGACATTTGCGGTGTGAATAGTCATTATTTTAGTTTTCAAAAGTTGTACTACCGCAGTTATAGCGCAATCAAAAGTTCTACTTTTAATGTATAAATGGTCACTATCTATTTAGAGATCAGGTCTTGGAGCTGTCAGTTTAGCAAATGCTTTATTTGTTTGTGGCGGTTTTGACAGGAGGCGGCGACTAGGTACAAGCATTTTGTACGATCCAAGGGAAGGTCGCTGGCACAGCTTAGCTGAGATGAGAGTCGGACGGTAATTTTGCTGCTTCATTAAAGCTTTCTAGCTGACCTAAAGTGAGCACTTGTTTCTCTTATTTATTTGCAACTTTAGCACGAGGCAGACATAGAAGAATGAGCAGCTTTAGTCGTTCACTTTATTTTTGGCACTGTTTTCTCAGAGTGAAGAGCTGCTATTGTTATCAAATTTGCAGTGCGGCAAAATCTGGTCTTCTGGGATTGCGTTTTTCAACATTATACCTATCAATTTTATTGAGTTTTTAGTTTGTTTTTTGTTTCAAACAAAACACACTTTAAAGGCTACTAGTGCTACATATTTTGTTCTCTTTGATTCTATTGAGCAAATAAGTAAAAAGAGGTTTTTATATGAAGTCCTGACACAGTTTCTAGAAAGCTTGAGTAAACTTGAAGCACATGCTTTTCTGTGTCACAGCTATAAAATACCACGGTCAGTTTTAGAGTGCACAAGCAAAGGTATTTGAAACCAAGGCTTTAAGAAGACCGCTGACCTTAAGAAGTTTATAAGTTTCATCTTCAAACGTTCTGAGGATGTCTAATTTTTCTGGATTTATCCTCGAGGTTTCTTCTTGCAGCGCTTCTTCTGTCTGCTTATTGCTTCTATGTTTGCACTTTCTTTTCACTATTCAATTGTTCCAGTTCAAAATGGAAAGTAAGAGAGGCATACGGTTTTACTGCTTTTTTGTTTCGTATTCTCATATCTCTGCGTTTTTGTATTGTCAGTAAAACAAAAAGAACTGCATGTTGTCTGAAATAGGTATAATTAATTGGGCGGTTTATTTGTTGATTATGCAGCTTCTTCTTGAGTGTGCTAACAAACTAAGACGTCAATTTTGGTCATGTAAAAGCAGCCTAGCCGCTCTTTTTTTCTCTGTTTTTTTTAGCTTAACTTGTTACAGGTTACTTTACTTGTTTTTAATTAAAAATTTAGATACTCTCGATTTTGGCTAAAAACTGTGTAGTAACCTCAAACTGTTACTTTACCTCAAATTGAGTGAAGTTCAACGGGGTGGTACTCAGTAAACGGCAATAATCATTGTGAAAGAAAAATTTAGGCGAATACCTCTGCTATGAAAAAATAAGAATTTATCTAACTTTGATATACGTCTGAAAAATGATCTTTTGATATGTTATTTTTTGATATGTTTTTTATTCAAACAGTAGCAAATCAAAGTGCTTCAGCAATTTACACGTTTCCAATTTTAATCTGACGAGGAAAGAAAAACAAACGAATGAAAGCAGCAGATGCAACTGTTGTCAACAGCTAATGTTCTGATAATGCGACTTTCAAGCTTTACTTTGTTTCTTGAACATATTCTAGAAGTACTCGGGGTAAAAGGTAAAAATGCTTTTGATATTAGCTAAAAAAGAACGTTAGAGATTTTTAGAATGGCAATGAATACTTGTTGTTGCCTTATTTTTGTTGTAACCGCAGCGTTAGTAGAATTACACCGTACATGAAACTGGTGTAATGATCAGGTTTCAAGTGGACATCTTTTAAGTGTTTTCAGGGCTAATTAAGGTCTAAAACATTAATTCTTTTCTTCTAACACTTTTAAAGCAATTTACAGTTCCAACTTTGGCATCGAACTGTTGAACAACCAGGTGGTTGTTGCTGGTGGTTATACTCGAGACAAGTGGGGAGCGGGTGTCATGAATGTTTGCGAAGCTTATGATATTCGAGCTAACGGTTGGATAGAACTTCCACCGTTGAACCAGTCAAAATCAGCGTTACGGATCTCATTTGTTGATGATTTCGATACAATCATGCAGTTGTACAAAACAGTCGAAGATGAAAATTTTAGTTCAGGATTTCAGTGAAAATTTTAGAAACTGCTGATTATTTTTCAAGCTCTACTATAAACTCTTGCAGATACAACAGTAAAAAAGTTCGAATTTTGCAAGAAATTGTTCCTAACGGTGGAGGTTAATGTAACACGGTGGTAGCACAACTGTTGTTTTAAAATTAAATAGCCTTTTTGGTTTAACAGTGAAACTGTTTTGAAACCAGAAAGATAGATAGAAAAAAATAATTTGAGACACATTTTTTTTTATCTTACCTGTATTCTGCTACCCAGTAATTTGCTTTTTTTCTGCTTACGTGGCTTTATTAAAAAAGATGTCTTATCTGTATATATGTCATGTGACTTTGAGTATATGAATTCTGTAAATTGTATAACAGCAAATATATGGCTTCATTAAAGTGCATCCAGAGGCAAACGTTTATTCTTGAAAGTACAAAAGATTTCTAATGCTTGTTTTATGTTTCCGCACCACAAAATGTTTATTACACCAGTTTTTTACGTTTTAAATTTTAAAGTTTTATTACTACCGGTACATCTGTTAGTAGACTCTATTAATAATAACTGAAAGACATGGTTTAGAGGTTAATGATAGAAAAAAAGGCATTACTTGCCCATATTGGCAGCTTCTCAACGCTTAATGCCTGACCCGATTCTACACAGAAGTTGTTCTTGCCCAAGTCTGAAACAACACAACAACGTAACTTTGTCATTTGTATAGGCTACTCGACAAAGGTCTTTGTTCTGTGATGTTAGCTTATAACTTATTATACTTTTCTGTAGGGTATCACTAAATTTCCGTCACTTTAGATTTATGCTGCCATCGAAATTAACTCATTACAAGTTGCAGAAAACAGCTTATTCGGCCCTATGTTTGCTGCGATAACGTATAATTTGTGAATCATTTACACTTAAGAGAACAACTTTGTATACCCCGCATAACCAATAGCTTTTTTAAGCGGCATTGTAAAATGTCTGTACTTGTCTTCTTTTCGTTAAAAGTCACTTTTTTTTCTTTCACGGTGGTGTAAAGTAAATTTTACAGGTTTAGAAGTGAAATAATAGGTAAAAAGACAACAGAAAAGAACATGTAAATTTTCTATTTTCAAAGAGACTTTTTTCCTGGAACACTATAATACTTAAATTTTTATATCTGCAGAGATAAGCATGAAAAAGGGGAAAAAAACCTTTGTTTAGATAGCCACATTTGCATACTCTTTACCTTCCTAGCAAATTTTTTTGGCCAATTTATTTTCAAAAAAAAGTAAACGTCTGAAGTGAAAAAAAAAAAAATTTGTGATAAAAACCAAATGTTAGGACCCAAAAATGTTGAAAAAACTTGAACTTCAATTGAATAAAGCGCATTTCTTGGCTTGCTTCTTCATTTACTGTACGTGTGACCAACGGAACAGCAACTGAAAGAGGTCTTCAATTTCGATTGCATAGCAGATGTCCTGCTGTATTAGTGTACTAAAGTTGACAGTTACTGAGCACTATTAAAGCCGCATAGAACCATCTAAAACATTAAACTAAATGACTACTGAGCTTAAGCTTAAATTAGAAAACTGTGTTGCAGAGAACCAATCGTGAATACTCAGCATTTTCAGCATCTGTTATATAAGTGAAATAATTGAACATTTTTCTTTTTTCTGTTTTGAAAGTTAAAGAGAAGTATTATAGGAATTTTTTTTTATTGTTAGTTATCTCAACTATATCGTTATTAATGAGCAATCATCTTTTAGGTGACAAAATAAATTACTGGTTTCTTTTTTTTTTTGTCAGTCAACTAAGATAATTTATCAATTTTTCTAAAACTTTTTTACCCTCTATTATCACTGTCAAAAAATTTTGCAGCCCGTAAAAAAAACCTGCTTGAAATATGAGAACTGAAGTGATTTGAAATATTGCTTGATATTTTTATCACTAATTCGTTCTGTCAACGTGCACTAAATCTAATTTTTTTCTGAAAAGATGTATCAGTAAGCAACGTCATTGTTTCTATTTGAACGCTGCAACTTTGAAAAAAAAAGTTAAAAACTCAACAGATATGTGGAGGAAAGAAGGGACGAATGGAGGAGGAGAGAAGTGGAAAAAAAACAAAAACAGAAAAAAATCGCAAAAATTCTAAATTTTTTTTTTTATTTTATTTTATCGTTTTTTTAATGGCAAAAAAAAAAAAAAATTGGAAATGAGCAAAATTTGTTTCTAAATATTTTTTTAGCTTCTTTTTTTTTTTCTTTTTGTTGACATTTTACTCTTATCTTAATCAACAATTTAAATTATTTCTTAAAGAATAAGAATGATATGCGCATGTATAATCTTTTACGAATCGATTACTGTGATTAATTTTACTTTTTTAATCAAAACGACCAGAAATTGAAGTAAACTATTTGGTTGTTAAACTGAAAAGTAATTATAGGCAATCGTCAGCAGTTTGAGCTCTATAAAAAGTCGCTTCTTTCCCAAGTTTTTTTTTTTTTTCAAACTTTATAAAGTTTTAAAACATTACCCATTTTTTTGTGAATAATTGTTAAATTTATTTTATTCAGATTTTTTTTCTTCTGCAATCTATCAGCAATGTATTTCTACTAATCATTATCAATTTTTTTACTAATATATGTCGAGGATTTTTCGTTGCACTTTTATGAACGTATGTCGCTTGTAGTTTCACGTGGAAATTTTTTGATTTATTTTTTAGATTACTGCTGGATAATTTTCTGAATAATCATAAAAAAAATAAGTTACAATTAAGTATTTTTCTAAATGGCCAAAGCAGACAACAGTTGACTTTTAATGATACATAGTGTTAAAACTGTAGTAAGAAGGAGTGAAATTAGAATTAGTTTTAGATAAAAGGTTTTGCAAAAGAAAAAAAAAAAAGAAATGAAACTATTTTGAGGTCGACAACTGTTTACTGTCTTTTTGAAAAACAGAAACATAACTTATAATTCCAAACGTATCATTAATTTATTCTGATCAATTAAATTCTGATTGAATTGTCAGCGTCGGAAACAACTGTAATGTAGATTTATCATTTATTTTTTTCCTTTTTTCGTCATTACTCATAATTTGCTAATATTTGGATGAAAAAAAAGACAACAACAGTGATGACAAAAGTATAAAAGAGCAGAGACTTTTAAATCGTCAAGCTGAAAAAAATTGGATATAGTCAGTTTTTAAAACTAACCTAAATTACACTTAGGCA